TTCCAAGTCGGCCGGGACAGCGGAACGGGCCACCTCCAACTGCATCTCCCGGGTGAGCCCCGCCTTAAAGGCACTCATGAAGGTGGCATCATTCCAAGCCAGCTCCCGCTGCAATACACGAAACTCCGAAATGTATTGGGCCAAACACCCCTCTCTTTGCGTTAGGGCTCGCAGCTTACGATCCGCCATCTCCCGGTGCACTTGGCCTCCCCAGACTTTGTGCAGTTCATCCATGAAAGCCTTGACAGTGTTGCACACAGGGGAAGCGGCCTCACGTAGCACGGTGGCCCAGGAGAGGGCCGGGCCCTCCAACAGACTGTAGGCAAAGCCCACCTTGGCTGCTTCATTCGGGAACTCCGCTGCCCACACTGTGAGGTAGGCATCACACTGCCCCAGGAAGTCCTTGACCCGTTGACTGTCTCCAGAGAACTTGTTAGGCAACGCCATAGGAGTCCTTAGCGGCTGAGCTCCTTGCGCTGAAGGTTCTGCAGCTGCTGTTGCATCGCCTGAGATTCTGCAGGATTCATGGTGGCTGGGAGAAGCAAGGACTTTGTTGGTGGTCAGTTCCAAACTGTTGTATCTCAGGCTAAGATTCACCTTGCTCTCTCTGACAAACCAGCCAAACTTGTGAAGAAAGAAGTTTATTGTGAGGTTTTTCAAACAAATCAGAGTATAAGCAGTAAAAAGTTCAGTAGTACAAGGTAAAAGTCCAATATATTCCCTTTGAGTCAAAGCAGAAGACTTGAAGCAAAGAAGCATAGTAAAGTCCAGGAAATAGCATGAGGTTACATGAAGCAGGCTTTCCCCAAGGCCCAAGCCCCAGAGCCGGAGACAAAGCAAGCCATTTTTGCAACGTTGGAACTGACGCCGAATCAGCTCCCAGGCAGTTTACTTATAGGTAAAACATCAAAACATTGAACATTAAACAGACAGCTAACAAGCAGTTTTCCCACCTACGGATGGGCTCAAGACTTGGCCGCAATTCGTAAACTCCTTCTCAACACCTGCGGAACAGCCTGACCTTCACCAGCTGTCTTATCAGCCACATTCCGTTCCTGTGAGAAAAGTGGTTTCTCTCTAGCTACAGACTGTGACTGAGAAAACTGAGAAAACTGAAATCCCACACCTGCATCTGTATTCCCATTCCCATCATGCTCATCTGCACTCTCAGTCCCATCATGCTGTTGCTGTTGAACCACAACAGTAACCATCAAGCTTTTAACCAGCATCTACTTCCTTCTGTACTTTATTCAATAAACTTTCCTTGTTTATTTCAAAATTCAAAAAGCCTGAGTCCAGTGTGCCATTTGTGGCTATAGTCCCTTTTCAATCAACCTCAACTGTTTTCCTTTAAAGAAGCAAATAAGAAACCACAGTGTTTGATGATCTTTAAAACCATTTTAAGATTTTACAGCTAGAGTGTTCCTGTACATTTACTTTGGTGGCAGCGGAAGTTAATTAGTGAGACAATCCCCTCAAACGTTATATTGGTGCCAAAGTGGTGTGAATTCTTTATATTGGAGAGACAGTTGGTGGGATCTGGTTTACCCCCTGTCCAGTTATTGTTTGGCCACACGACGTGCCTTTATAATTTGGTTTGCAGCGGTGTGGGATCGTGTAACATCTCAATCCAGAGCATTTTGTGAGAATCCTGAGGTAAAATTTTTGTCAAAACGTGACACTGAAGAATTACCTCAGAGACAGGACACCTCTAGAGCCATTTTAACACACCATGGCACCACCAAAAACAAAGAAGGGTACTTCTGAAGAACCAGAAAGAGAAGGGGAGACAACTGCTTCTGTAGTTGAGGAAACTGAGACCCAAGTACAAGAGAGTAGACAAGAACAAATAGCTACCTCTTTGTCAATTGAAAAGCTCAGGCTAGAAATGAGGTTGAGAGAACTTGAGTTTCAAGAAAGGGAGAAAGAAAGAATGATTGAATTGGAAAGGGAACAGATTCAGGCTGAAAGAGAAAGAGAAAAGTTTCAGGCTGAAAGAGAAAGAGAAAAAATGCAGATGGAGAGAAAAAGAATGCAAGTTGAGATAGAAAGAGAAAGAGAACGGTTAAAACATGAGGAGAGAATGGCAGAACTACAATTGAGAGAACGTGAGAGAACTCCTAACTTAAGCCAACAGCAGGACTCTAACATGCAAAGAGTTTTAAAGAACTTTCCTCGTTATGTGAAAGGGGATTGTGTAGAGTCATTTTTGGCTAGCTTTGAAAGGGCTTGCCATGATTTCGAGGTACCTGAAGCCAAAATGATGGTGTACCTGAGACCACTACTTTGTGGGGAACTTAGTGAGGTTTACGCTGATCTGAGAGAGGCACAGAGCGCAAGTTACCTCATATTGAAAGAAAGGGTGAAGCTGAGGTTTGGCTTGACACCTGAACAAAGTAGAAAAATGTTCAGGGAGATCAAAAGAAAGCCAGGAGAAACTTTTTCACAATTGGGAAGCCGAGTAGAAAAAGCCTTAGAGAGATGGCTTGAAGGAAGTAAAACGACTACGTTTGAAGAGTTAAAGCATTTAGTTTGTATGGAACAGTTTTATCGACTGATCCCCATACAAATGAAGTGGTTCGTTAAAGACAAGAAGATTAAACAAGTGTCAGATCTCGCAGCTTGGTTGGATGAGATGGAGCATGACTGGAATGTGAGTCATAGCTCAGGAGCCACCAAGAGACCGAGGGAATGGGTTCCAAAAGAGAAAACTGACGTGGGAAGCCAAAATCCTGTCAGGAGGGACCGCATTACAGAGATTGCCACAGGAAAACTTGTCTGTTACTTCTGCCATCAAGAGGGTCATAAGAAAACGGCTTGCCCTAAATTAAACACCCAGAAAAGGCCAATTACACCACCAAAGCCTGTTAAGGTGGTTAAACAAATATCTCCACACGAAGAAAGTCAGTCTCCACACGCACAGGAAGAGCCTGTAAAGATAATGCGAGTATGGAGTACTGAGAAAGAGACAAATGGAGATTATTTGAGGGTGATAAAAGTGAAGGGTCAGGAACTAATGGGGTTCAGAGACATTGGGTCCGAAGTATCGCTCATTAGGCCGGAGTTTGTCAAGGAAGACCAAATACTTCCAGGCCAAAAGTACAAGTTGAGAGGAATTTATGGCCCTGTTTTCGAAGTGTCAGTGGCTGAAATCCCAATAGAATACAAGAACTTCTCTGNGGCTGAAATCCCAATAGAATATAAGAACTTCTCTGGAAAATGGAGAATGGGACTTTTTAGTGATTTAGAAGTTCCGGTATTGTTGGGCAATGATTTGGCTGAGCGCTGTAGACATGTTAATATGATTACCAGAAGCCAAGCTGAACTAGAAGGGGAGGCTGAATACAGTGTTGCTGATGAACAACCATCTACCTCACAAATAGAAAATGTCAGCCAAGAAATTCCCTTCAGTTTAAACCAAAGCCATATGAGGCAGTTTGAAACAGCCCAGCAACATGATGAAAGCTTAAAACCTTTATGGGATGAAGTGGTCCCAGAAAACCACACACCCACAAGTGAAAAGACAGTTTTGTTGAAAGTTGTGGAGAATAAATTGTACCGAGTTGTGAGGAGACAAAAGGGTCCCAAATTCTTTGAGGAAAGAACACAACTAGTAGTACCACACAAGTATAGGGCTAAAATCCTCAAGTTAGCCCATGATACCACCTTCAGTGGACACCTAGGTATCAAGAAGACCAAAGATCGCATTCAGTCTAGGTTTTTTTGGCCCGGAATGGGAGGTGATGTGACAGCCTATTGTAAGTCCTGTGAGACTTGTCAAATGGTGGGAAAAGCCAAAGATAAGACAAAAGGACTG